GGCCGGAAAATATTAAAACTGGTGTAAATGACACATTTACGTATGTTTTGTAAAAATCTTAAGATCAATAATTCATTAATACTTTTGTAACCTTGCAGCCATATACACAATCGCTATCACCGCAAGCGTGACACCCAGAAATGTTATAACCAGAAGGAGATAACTAGAAAACGTGACCGACAAACTGGTCTTAATACGCTGAAATATAAAATATCAAAAATACAGGAAATGTCTATCGATGGAATTTCCATAACAGTTTTAAACATTTTGCTCGAGTGCGACTTGGCAGACACCCCTTGGTGCGACTGCTCTGGTAATGCTGCAGTTGCTTCTGCTGTGTCAACTTGATTTGCTTTTAAATCGACTGTGCTATGAATTAGTAATAAAGTTCTTGTCTAGGTTTTATGTATCTTAATTTTAATATTTTACGTACTATGTTATAGTTCCTTAGTTCAATAAAAAATGTTACAAGCTTTTACAGAAAAAATGGGTAAAGATAATTTTAGTTTAATATACGTGCACCATGCCGTACAAGAATGTCCAGAAGAGCACATAAGTGCATAGGCCGCCCATAAAGTTATTAGTCAAAAGACTCTGACGATTGATGAAAAATTTGCGCCACTGAGTACCTGATTTCGCCAAAACCAAGAGCCACAATACGAAGACGGACACAAAATAGAAGAGGAAACCAAGCAAACCGTTGAGCCCCAGAATGCCTAGAATTAATTTATTCGCTATATATATGTGCAAATTTAGCAAATAAATTGTATGAACACCTACCGGCAGCGCAGCCGGACAAAGCAGCCATTGAAGTGCGGCAGTACTCCACGGCAGATATATTTCCGCGTATGGCGGCTTCACTATAAGCGACAATCTCACCCGCTTTGTTATTTAATTTGTTACTCATATTTAAAGGATTATTTACTAGAAATTATTAGCAAACTAGTGGAATATAGCTAATTGAAAAATAAGCAAATGTCAGTGCACAGCTGTTTTAATATTCGATCATTTATTTAATCGATGAAATTTTTAGAAAGAAATCGATTGCAAGAAATTTGTTAGGTTGGTTTCAGAGGTTATTAGTTTTAAAATTAAATTTTTATTTAAACTCTGTTCAGCATTATATAAATTTTCATTTGAATAACTTTGCATACTGCTCAACGATTTCGCATTAATAACTAAATAAATGAATAAATTATCGCATAACGAAACTGCGTGTGCCAACTCACTTTAGTCGGTGTGCTTACTAAACACAGCCCGTTGATGTAGGTCGATTAAATTCCGATTGTTAGATTCGAGTACAAGAAAGCGATGAATAGTTATACATTTCCGCTCAAAATTACTTTATAAGATTGCAGATTTAATCAAGCACAAATGTTTTTAACGAGGCATTTATTTACATAATATACTAATGTACTAAAAGGAATTGTTTGCTGTTTGTGTTGTCGTATTATTGCTAAAATAGGAACTCGGTAGTAGATTTCCAGCTTGAAGGCATTTTTCATCGGAAGCACTTCCGGTTTTATTAGATTACAGAGCTAATAAAACTATGGAAATCTTGTATTTTACCAAAATAAGTGTATATAGTTAAGTTAGTTAGTTTCAATCACAACAAATTTTGAGCTCCCGCAAAGTCCAGTGGACACTTTTTTCATTGCAAATTACTTAAGTTTGTTTTAAAACTTCATTAAAATAAGTAATTTTAACATTACTTAGCACGGTTGGCTTTGCATTTGTTTACACAAGCAATATAGAGGAAGTTGTTTTATATATCCAGAAAATTTTCATAAAACGAACCTGACATCTTTGGGCATTTATGTAGCATATACCCATATTCATAAATATGCATGTATACATGAGCAACAATTCTATTGAAATTTAAGACAAAATATCATGTGATATTAGGAAAACTTGTAAATGTTTTATAAATAAAATTCTGAGGCCAGTCAAACAGACTGACTCATTTCTTACTCTTTTTGGTGTAATAAATTGTGACTTGAATATAAGTAAAAAAGTTCACGTAGAAGTAAAAGTTTATTAAAAATCAGAATTATAAAGTACATTTGCATTTAAGACTCAGAAAAGCGTCCAATATGACTCCTTCTAAGAAGGGAAATATGCTGTTTTAAGACACTTTTTCACCTCATAACGAGGATTACGATTCAGAATTCTGAAACTTTAAGGACTTTAAAATGGGTCCGAATGCTTACAATGAAATTTAAAAATGGAATTACAAAGAAACCTGTAAGTTTTATACATGCCGCTAAAATGTGATCGATGTATTTCTCTGAATGAATTGCCGTAAGCATTTGTGAAGATAAAATTACCTAACTCGACTGGATTAAGCCCGGTCAAGAAATATTAACACCATTCCTTTATCAAAAAAAAGGAAACGATTGGTCAGAATTGTAAGAAAATATTAATTTATCACATTATCTTACCAAATTATTTGAAAAAATCTGTTTCGCGCTTTGCGATATAAACAACCATTAGATCTCCCGTTTATGAAACTTGTGAGTTTTTGCAAATTTTGGGTTCGCATACCTGTTTCTTTTTTATGTTTGAAGAAAAACAAAAGTTTTTACATTTCATACAATAATTTATTATCGTCTTTTATTTGGAACAAAATATAAAAAATTATTATAATATACTTTACTTATCGTATTTAGTTACAGCTAGAACTGATTTATTATAAAAAAACTAAAAGAAAAAAAACTAAAACAGAAATAATTAATGACGCATTTTAATATCTACAATTGCGTGAACGCGCGTGAAAATAATTGTTTATATTTTATATTTGTTTATTTTAGTTTATGTTCAATATTAATTTAAGCCCAATTCTTGTCTGACAAGTATGAAGTGTACAGAATATACTACATATACATACATATTGGCAAATAAAGTGATTAAAAAATATTTAAATATAAAAACGAACGTATTAGCTTGAGAAATCCAAGAGCTGTTCACATACAAGTTTTTATAAGTATGCATATGTGCATACATACATACGCATGTTGATTTATATATGTACGTACTTTAAAATGTTACACTATTTCTGTTATATATAAAATCTAAGTTTGGGTTTTTTTTTATCATAAGTGGTCTATTGTTGTTGTGCATTTATTTGTTATTGTTATTATTATGTAATTGTTAATAAGCTATGCACGTACGTTTTATGCGTTTACATAATTGTAGATAAAACTAAATTGTGTTTTTATATATTTAAGAACTATTCGCTGTGTTTATATTTATTTCGTTTTCTCAGTTGTTTTTTTTTGTTATTTCTACATGTCTGTATGTATAATAATATCAATTTTTGATACATTTTGTGTTTTTTTTTTTCGTTTTAACCTACTAAATAGAATAAAAAAGCGAACATTTCTGTGCGTTTGGAAAGTTGCCGCAAGGAAATTCGCTGCTAAAGCTCAAGTGACTGAAAATCGCATTAAAAGTTACTGATACTTCACATCTATTTCTGCTACTTTTTTCTTTATAATTAAGTATTACTTTTATATTTCTGTGTTCGCATGGAATATTTAGTAGCTTATGTCGAAAAGCTGACTTTAGTATAATGCGGCATTCCCTTTATTCTTTAAACGACGAGGCATTTTTTATGAGACTTAAAAAGGATATTGGCTTGCTTGTATCGGAACTATTATTTGCCAAAAGTTCTTCAACTGCTCGTCGCCAGTGAGAGTCATTCGCAATCGTATGCTGCGAATGCCGCATCATACTAAAGCCAGCCTTTCGACATAATATTACATATACTTGCGCATTACTTTTAGTTTATTTAAAAAAGTTTTTTTCATTGAATGTATAGAAAAGTTCATTGCTACTGTGTACGCTTTTTAATTTAATAGTTAGTACATATGTACATATAAACTTACATACAAATTTATTTATTATATTATTTATTGATTTCTATTATCGACTACGTGTTTATGGTTAAGGTTAAAAAATTTTCAATCAGTCGAGCATTAGTGTTATTTATTGTTTCTTCTGTGTGTAAGTGTATGTATGTATGTTTACTAAACTATGTTTTTGTGCTATGTTATGTTATATATTTTTACAATACAACGTTTTTTAAGTAGTTGCTTATATGCGTTTTTTTTTGTTTCTTGTCAGCATTTCGTCGGCAGCTCGTTGCTCGTCCACGCTCATTGCTCGTCCACGCTCATCTTGCTCGGCCACGCGTTCTCGTTCGTTGTTCAGCTTTCTTTGCCTGTTTGCAAGCAGTTTAGAGCTTTTCTGTGCGTTTGTAAACATTTGTGCGCATAAGTGTGCATGGTAAATCTAAGCTTGAGGGGCATATGTCTGTCTTAAGACCTAGCATATCCTGACTTGCGTTGTAAATTGTTGTGAAAAAATTGCTTAGTTTTAGTTTAAAAAAATATACTAAGGGAACTTGAATATACAGCACTTGAAGCGTTGAAAAATTAGTAAAAAAAAAAAATTCAAATTTTTTTATCGTTTCGATTTGCGTTGTTGCTTGTACAAGGAGAGAAGACTAGTAGCAACCTTACAACTTAAATAAATATGTATCAAAAAAAAAAAATAAAACTTAAAAAGTTCATTGCAAATTTTGCGAAAGTATATGCAAATCTACAAAATAAGAATGTGAAAAAATTATAGTCTACAATTAGGCGCTAGAGTGTAGCTAATAGCATAGCAGTACAAATGTAGTTAATGGCAAAGCTTTTATTTTAGTTCATAACGTTATTCTTTGTAACAGCCACAATATGCGTCGCACGGTGCTTGCGGTGTAGTGTCTTAAATCCATTTTAATATACTATACATCTGTATGCATGTATAAATTATTTGTGCTTGAGAGTCTCTTGAATTGTGTTTTAATATACATACTATATATATATGTATGCACTATATATGTATATACGCTTTCCGTAGTCGCCCCGCTTCGCAATCGTTCGTGCACAAAGAACGACGTTACAAACATTACTATAATTTATATTTATACTAAATTATTTATATTAGGTTTTTCGTTTTTTTGTTTCCTATTTTGTTTTGTCGTTTTTTGTTTTTTTTTTTTACAATTACAAAATTACAAACGAAAAAGTTCGCTTAAGTAAGTGCGTCCTTAATTACAAAAATTGTTAATTGCACCTATACTAGGTATACAGCACAATATCACTGGTTGTTTGCTCGTATGCTAGCTGATTTTTAATTTTTTTTTATATAAATATGTTTAGTTTACATCTACGTCATCATCATCATTATCATCATCGGCATCATATCGTATAATTAATAAGGGTGTATGCATTCAAAGAAAAAAAAGGAGCCCCACTAACAACAACACACACGCCGATATGTCTGTATGCATGTATGTATGTGTGCCTAACTCATTTTCCCCTCGAAAACTTTGCATGCAATTATCGCTTTCTTCTACAACTTTCTCCTCCTCTACAATATGTAACTTGTAATATTTCATTGTGGTTTTGGCACCGGGATTGCAGATTCTTTTTGTTCACTAGTCTTTCTTGGTTTTTAATTGTGAGTGGTGTGATTGTATCTGCTGTGTTGTATTTGTAAGCGTTTATGCTTAGCGATTATTTCATCTTTTCCTGCCGGTCGCAACGACAGCCATCACTTGCTGCATCGTCGGTTCGGGCACGCACGCCTGTGGATCACATTTCATTTTTCCATCGCCACCGCAACTGAAAAGCAAAAACGAGAAAAATTTCATTAAAGCGAAACTCTTTTCGGCAAACGAAAAATCTTACTACAAGTAAATATTTTTACACCTTTGTTCGCTGAGTACTTACGTGCAATTGATGCATGGACCGCTCGTCGATTCGATCTTCTCGCCGACCTTGTACGATCTGCCATTGATTAGGCAGCCATTTCGTTGCACCGCTCCGCCATATGAGTGATGCAGGAAATGTGGCGGCAGTGTTGTGCTCGTCGTTGTCGTACTGGTGGTGATATTCAGTACGGTTGCCATCGACACGGGACACTCGTATCGTGGGCAGCAGAAGCCCGAGATAGGTTCTTCGTGACAGCCGGAAATTGGTGGCGGGCAAGATTGTTGCAAGCAAATGATGTCACTTCTGAAGCAGAAGCAGAAATCGCAAGGATCGTCTCGTGGTATTTGCTGCGCTGAGACGTAAAGTTTGCCGCCATAACGGCAAGTGCCAGGACCGAATACTTCTGACTCGTCTTCGTCGGGATATTCATCGTTGTAGGATGGATACTGACCGTATACAGGTGCTGGTGGTGGATAGTGTGTGATTGTTGGCTGTGTGGTAATGAGCACATCGCTGCTGATGAGATTTGTCGGCGTTGTTGTTTCTGTTGCAAGTTCGGGTTGTGATGTTGCATTGGCGATGTCGATCCGGCTGTCGATCGCTGGTGTTGGCAGTGTTGTGACAATGTGTGGGAATAGCGGGTGAACTGTTGTTGCGATGCTTTCCTTTTCTTCCTCTGTGCTGACATCTGTTTGCTCGGCTGAGGTCTTCTCGGTAGAACTGATGGCGACCTCTGCGGAGGCTTCTTGTTTTTCGGTTGTTGGACGTTTGCCTTCTTCAGTTTCGAATGCAGGTTTGATTGTAACTAGTGGTTCTTCAACTTCAGATTCAGTTTCAGGAGTTGCTGTTACTGCTCCTTGTTCTTTCTTAAATTCAGTTTCATCCGTAGGTGCAACTGTGGCAGCCAGTTTCTCTTCTTCAGCTTCAAGTGTAGGCTTGTCTGTAGCTGGTTGGAGGTCGGCCTCGGCCTCAGAAACTGGAGTGGATGAGACAGCCTCCTTTTCTCCATCTTTGGTTTCAATCTCCGGCTTGGCCGTCACTGCTTGTTGATCTTCCTCAGATTCAGTTCCTGGGACAACTGTGATATGTTCTTTCTCTTCCTCGGCCTGGGGTTTTATTGTTGCTGGTTGTTTTTCCTCGTCAGATCCAGCTTCAGGCGCGCCTGTGGTAGATTGCTTCTCTTCTTCCGCTTCTTCCTCCGGTTTGACAGTTGCTGGTTGTTTGTCCTCTTCGGACTCAGCTCCAGGGGCGCTTGTGGCAGGTTGTTTCTCTTCTTCTGCTTCTTCATCGGGTTTGGCAGTTGCTGGTTGTTTTTCCTCATCAGAGCCAGCTTCAGGGGCGGTTGTGGCAGGTTGTTTCTCTTCATCCGCTTCTCCTTCCGGTTTGACAGTCGCTGGTTGTTTTTCCTCTTCGGACTTAGCTCCAGGGGCGGCTGTAGCAGGTTGTTTCTCGTCTTCCGCTTCTCCACCCGGTTTGCCTGTTGCTAGTTGTGGTTTCTCATCAGATTCAGATTCAGGGGCAGCTGTGGCAGATTGTTTCTCTTCATCCGCTTCACCGTCAGGTTTAGATGTCTCTGGTTGCTCCTCTTCTTCAGATTCAACATCAGGAGCTACAGTGGTATGTCCCTTCTCTTCTTCTGCTTCTGGTTTCGTGGTCACTGTTTGTTCTTCTTCCTGAGGTTGAGTTTCAGAACCCTCTGATTCTGGTTTCGCCGTCACTGTTTGTTTTTCTTCGTCCGTCGTAATTTCAGGGGCAGCTGTGGCGGAGGGTTTCTTTTCTGGCAATTCGGATTCTTTGTCTTCTTCCGATTCGGATTCAGGAGTGGCTGTTGTTGCTGCTTGTGAATCTTCTCCAGCTATGACATCAGGATTCAGTGTCGTGGGTTGTGTTCCGTCGCCTGCCTCAGACTCAGACTCAGGCTGAGCTGCTACTTGTTGTTTCTCTTCTTCAGGTTCAAGTTCGGGAATAGCCGTGGGAGGCTGTATCTTCTCGTCAGATTCAACTCCAGGTTTAATTGTGGTTGGTTGTCTTTCTCCTTCAGCTTCAGTTTCGGGGGAAGGTGTGATTTGATCTTCCTCCTTTTGTTTTTCGCTTTCAGGCTTAGCCGTTGTAATTTCGCCGACTTCGAAATGAGATCTGATTGTTGTTGATTGTTCTTTGTCCTCAGGTTTGGCTTCACTGGTGACTTCACCTTTTTGTTTTTGTTCTTCTTCTTCAGGTTTCTCCGTGACTGACTCCTTGTTAGTATCGGCTGGTTCCGTGACTGAAACCATGTCTTCTCCAATTAATTGTGGTCCCGAGGTAGGTTTAACTGTAATATCCTCTATACTTTCCCCTTCCTCGCCTGAAGCTTCGAAATCATGAGTTTTCGATGGTTTCGCTGCACTTTCGGTTGTGCTTGGCAAGCCATGATCCGTAACAAATTCGGCAATATGCTGTACTGTGTGTTTAGTTGAAGTTTCTTCCTCTGATTCTACGGAGCCTTCGCCTTCCTCCTCTGATTCTAAATCAGCTATTACACCAGGAGCTGGGGAAGCTTTTGTCTTACTAATTTCTGGATGTTGCGTTGTAATCTCTTGCATACCTTCTGGCGCGATAGAAGCAACGGTCGCCTCTTCAAGGTCCAAGTCCAGGCGAGGAACAATAGTAACACCCTCCCGATCTTCGTCGACAGGGGAACCTTTCTCGTTATCCACAACAATTCCAGTCTCCAAGGGAGTGACGCCTGTTGCCTTCTCGAATTCTTCATCGACGGTTGGAGCTGCAGAAGTTGTAACAACATTTTCAATACCTTCAGTAGCAGGTGCAACAGAGGTCTTTTTGAATTCATCCACATGTTCAGAAACAGAGGGAGTGGTAGTCCTTTCGAACTCATCCAAAATCGGAGCTCCAGTCGTCCTTTCGATTCCTTCGACTTCTTCTGTCTCAGCAGCAGGGGCGACAGTAACCTTTTCAATTTCATCGACACTTGGAGCTGCTGGGGTTTTATCAACATCTCCAACTTCAGGGGTAATAGTGGCCTTTTCACTTTCTTCGCCTTCAGGAACAGCAGTGGCTTTCTCGAATGCTCCGGCATCAGGGGTAGCTGTAGCCAGTTCAACACCTTCAATTCCAGGAGCGGATGTGGTTTTCTGAACGCCTTCGGGTTCCTCGACTTCAGGAACAGTAGTAGCCTTTTCGATATCTTCGGGTCTTGAGGCGGAGGGAACTTTCTCGACTCCCTCTTCCGATTCAGGAGCGCCAGCGATATCTTCAGTTCCAGGGGCAGATGTGGCTTTCTCGATGCTTTCTTCCAATTCAGGAGCAGAAGTAGCTTTTTCGACACCTTCGATTTCAGGGGCAGACGTGGCTTTCTCGATGCCTTCTTCCAATTCGGGGGCAGCAGTAGCTTTTTCGGTATTTTCCTCTCCAGGGGCGGAGGTGGGTTTCTCGACGCCTTCTTCCAATTCAGGTGCAGCAGTAGCTTTTTCGACTCCTTCGATTTCAGGGGCGGATGTAGCTTTCTCGATGCCTTCTTCCAATTCAGGAGGAGCAGTAGCTTTTTCGACATTTTCGATTCCAGACGGGGAAGTGGGTTTCTCGGCGCCTTCTTCCAATTCAGGTGCAGCAG